ACAGGTTCTAATATATGTTAAATTGTAAACCGTTTACTAAGGTCACCATCAAAGTTGAGCGACAACTCAAACTTCGTTCCCTTTCCTGCTAATAGTTATGGTCAACCAGCGAACAGCGTATATCTGGGTGAGTGCTATACCGCCACGTTATTGAACGCTATTTCAAAAAGAGAAAATTCTGCGCAGCCGCAAAATGGTATAAAATGTAATTATGAATAATACATTATTGGAAGCATATTTAGAAGATGAATACAAGAGGAAGAGGCTATAAAGTACTTGAAATGATAGTATACACTTGCAATGCTTGATGCCAACCGTATTGGTCTAAGCATGGAAACTATCACGTTTCCAATGAAAATAAAGCTTTGTTCAAACATTGGTGTTGTTGTGTTTTTAATCAAAGCAACCAGACTTAAAGCAAGCAACAAATATGAATAAAGAGCAAGTTTCAACTTCAATAAAGGCCTAGGTAGTTAAGATCATATAGAGTATGATGCATAATCAATTCTTGACATTTGATTGTTATTACAATACTTAAAGTATTTGTGCAGCAAATGTTCTCTTGCTTTACCACACTTGTTTCCCTTATAACACTCAATTATTGAGCTTAATGTATTCTTTGATAATACGAATTATAATATTGATTACACTCTTATCATACATAGTTTGATTTACTTTACGGCTCCCTGTAAGACTAACTACGCTTCTTCAGTATACACACACTGCAGTAATGTTAACCAAATGTTAAAATTCTGTTGGTTCTGTGTTAATACCGTTTTATAATATGTGTAGACTGGTTACTTTGCAATGTCAAATGTTTACTATGTAAAAGACTTTCATGATAGTTTAGTACAATAAGTCCTGCCAACCGACCTTACCTTCAGTTCTTACTACCTACATTGAACTCTAACTATAGTGTTCTGCTGAATCTTGCTCCACTATTCACAAAACCTATTCTTTTTACTCTTTAAGGGCTTAACATCTTATAAACTAACCTGTTCATTAGGACGCATGCACATATATATAATATGTTCATAAATCTGTATGTGGAGATCCATTGGAAGCACTCGCTAAGAAAGCTAGGGAAATGGAATGTGAGGTACGAACGTGTCTGGAATCAAGCAATATATTTGCTGTAGCCATAACAATCAGAGCCTAACATCATAAAGGGAGGGAGGGTGGCGCATGCTGATCAGTAGATATGGTGGTGGACACTAAGGTGAATCGCCCCATTCTACAAGAACAGCAATATGCAATTGGACAGCTCGAGATTTCTATGAGGGCTTGAATCTTTATCTTGAAAAAGATAATAATGATCGCCTAGGCAGATCATGCTTCTACCTTTAAACATATACCATTCGGTCAGCCTATTGCTGAGATGCGACCACGTGGGCTCTGCACAGATTTATGGGGCATCTCATAAATTGACATGCTTTCCTTTGTCGTATCTTCGAATATCACTTAACAATGTCTCATTTCATACATTTTCTAATAAGGTCTTCACTTGCTCATTATATTCCACTAAACCCAACACTTTATAGCTCTTTATGAATTTGATTCGACTTATTTTATTCCTATTCTCTATAGGGTACGGTTGTGCACCAAATACACAAAAAGGTATGAAATTAAAACAACCGGCTTGTGGGTAATTGTTTTAAACCAAAAGTGGACATCATGATAGTAAGACCTATAGGGTAGCATTATACATTGCAAATGAACTATGTCAGCCTGGGGATTATAGTCTCCCATTGTATTTCCTTTATGAATGCATGTGTTAATGATACATTGGACTTACCTATTTCATTACACTTTAATGATTCACCTTAGCACCTTTACTTGTCTAAAACAGCTTACTATCCCTTGTAAACGTTGTACTTACCTCAATATTGGTTGGTTATCGTATTCCTACAACTACGGGTTGTAAACGAAACGAAGTCAGTTTTCCTGCGCAACCTGGGGAACTGCTGTTTAATTCAATAATGATACGACATGGATCAGACAAAGAGTGTATTTATATATATATATCAAATATTTAGCTGTTGAAACATTAACTTGTAGACAATCTACTATAGACATTATATCATACTTGATCGTGCCTGTAAAAATGGCATGCATTTTCAGGTTAATTTAATTTTATTTGAAAATATAAATTATTATTATAGTGCGCAAATAAAAAGATTAGTGTGAGGTAGGTAAGTGATATTTAAGTGAGGAGTGAATTCAAAGATCTGGAAGATTAGAACCCGTAGGACAAGCTGACCTATAAGATGCCTCACGAATTTCTGTAGGGCCCAACGTGTAGCATCTTGAAAAGAAGCCGAACAGGCTTGTAGATAGTAGGAGCCAAAGCACTTTTTATTTATAATTAGATCTGTACAACCCTTATTATTATTTTGTTGAGGGTCCAGACTAATGTTTAATCTCCAGCTGTCAAAAAATGCATGTTGCTGTCCTACAGATCGGAGCGATTCACATTTGTGAACACTACCATATCTGCTGATCAGCACGCACAACCCTCCCTCATTTTTTGATGTTAAGCTCTGAGATTTTTCTTTGCAAACTGTAGTTGCTGTATTGCATTGCTTTAAACCCGTCCCAATCATACAGTATGCTGCACATTAATAGCTTTCATGACAAGCGCTTCCCATTAGGTCACCAGATACATCGATACCTGAGGATATTCTTAGCAGTATCACCTTTATACATGCATACATGTATACAAGTATTTGTAACAAACGCCTAGGAAATTGCGTTTAAGAAGCATAAAGTATAGAAGTAGCTAGTATTATATAAGACCATCACTTATTTCCTCGGGCTCTCTTCGACCACTAAGAAACTAAAAGCTGACTGTGTAAATTCTTGCATAACTTTGCCAGAATTGCAAGACTCAATATGATTTTTGTTAACAGAGACAGACGTTAATAAACAATGTACAGAAGTTCCAAGTATATGACGTAAGAAGGAGGTAAACAAACAAAATTAATGGTGGGTTCCATCGAAAATTTGATTGCGCAGCACAGGAAAGAGGAGAAGGGTTGATTATAAGTAAGACTGTTGTGGGTTTCACTCGAATAATTGGCAAACATTAGAATTCACGTAGGCAGGTAGCACTGATACATATTTTCTCTCGTCTCTTACAACTCCAATTCTTTGCTTCTGCAACTTCGCACAAAGCACCTTGCACTACGTCTTTCCATTCAAACAGCAATGCACACTCAGATATTATCTGCATGCATGGTGGTGGTAATCTAGTTGTCGCACAAGTAAATGGATACCTAGACAAATGGAGAGTTTTGGCTGAAGCGATGACGCCAGAACATTGCATTGGTGGTTGTATCAGTACTCCTCATTACAAACGTGAACCACTGTTGGTGTATTGCAAACTATGTCAGACTCCAATCAATATGCTGTCACACGTTCACATCTTCGCGTTCTACAATGTTAAAAAAGACACATACATCTAAATACCGACGACGTTTTTTTGAAAGGTACAGGCGAAAACTTGAGACAATATATTATTAGCAAAACCGAACTTCAAATTACGCGGGAAAAAGCAAGCGTGCGTAGCAACACAGTGTGCATTTAAAACAACTGAAGACCAATCTCCAATTATACAATGACAAACATTCGGTAAGTACGCGGAAAATTATTTTCTGTAAAAGTATAGTATGAGTGCTTTGATCAGTTTCTGAAGCGTTCAGATGGAGTTAACACAGGGGAACTACAAGTACAAAAAACGTACCCACTTCCTCTGAATGGTCGAGTCCTTTATCACGGTATTGTTCAAGGGAAGAAACAAATCCAGAGAAAATAACGTATTATTTAAGATTATTTGAACAAAATCATTTTCATGAAATGCAAGTGGGGCTGTAGCAATGTCGTGGTAGTAACATGTTTAGCTTATAATTCTATATACACTGATCCGGTGCTTCCCCTGGTTTAAGCAGTTCCTCTGGGAAGTAGAAGTTAGCTTATGATGTATTGACCGACTGTTGTGGGAGATTCAGGTGTAAGTCCCCAGGTGGCCGCAAGTATCTCAAGTTATCTGGTGACTACTGATCTAAAGAACTCACGTAAAATAATGCTAGAAGTACTTTAGTGTTCACAAATAGCTTAAACTGTGAGACTGAAATAAAAGACTCCCTCACTACAACTTCCATAAACATTTGGTAGTACCACAAAGAAATGTATCCAGTTTATCTTTGGTATATGATTTTCACTTAGATGTACGTTGACCTATACATATTCGTTGCACAAAGTAAAGTGTCTGATTTCCTTAAAACAAAGGAATCTCACATATTTATAACTTGTGTATATATACTAGTACAGCTCGATAAGCAACTTATCGTGTGTTTTCGCCTCAATGTCTCAATGTAGGGTAGAACTCACTTTAGATTCTTGTAATCACCTTATTTGTTTATTAAGCTATTGTTGATTTCTTATGGTTAGATAATGGACATTTTTATAGGGTGAGGTGACTTCATGTTTGTTTGTTTTCCACACTAATTAACCAAACGACGACGTTGGTTTATGAACACGTGTATATTAGACACCTGCTTACATAGCAGTTTTGGTATAAGATATACGTTCGTAATTATTCACTGCATAACTATTACTCAGTAATAGTGCTGGCGATTTAGCATCCATCATGGTGACAAAACATGATTACACAATCATATTAAGTCTCATTGAAGATCTTGTATATTAATGAGGGAGTGGCAAGAATTATCTATTTGTCTGCTCATTTCATAAACTGTTATTTATAACCCGTGGCTCACCAAAGGGTGTATCAGAGCTACATCAAGAAAACGGAGGAACGAACTAGGTATAAGCCCATAGAAGGTTAGGAACCATCACCTCATTACAAAAATTCCGGTTGAAATCGATTTGATTTATACTAAATCTTCCCAAGGATAGTGGATATTGAAGAATTCAAAGCATATAGTTCCAATATAGACTAATCACTATATGCGGAGCTCGAACAAAGAGCAAACGACTGTTCGGGTTCAAGGTCTCCGCTGTTTAACCTTTTACCACGTCAATTGTACACCACCGGGCTGTACGAAATTGTTGTCAATTTAGGCGTGCTAACGGCATTTGATCATAAGAGTGACAGTGAGTCTCTTATTTCACATTATTTATGTATCTAACACTCTATTCGTTAGATGAATCCTCTTTTGTACAGACCGCCCCCAAATCCGCACTTTCCTATGATGCCGTATTTAGCCGGGCCTTTACCTCAGAGGCGTAAGTTCAGGTTTCATTGGTGCTACGAAATTAGGTGATATTCAAGAGGAGGAAGATCTGGCAAGCGTGGCGTTACAAGTGCAGAAGAAGCGTTTTTATGTAGATGTAAAGAGAAATAGGAGGGGTATCTTCATGAAAATTGCTGAAGTTTGTTACTATCTTGAACTCTAAGATAGTTTAGGTTGGTTCTGACGGTCGGAAAGCTAGAATTCTGTTAACATTACAAGCTGCAGTTGAAATCAAAGATAAGCTGAAAGACCTTATTGACGTTCTTAAGGAGATAAAGACAAGTGAAGAAGAAACCTCCGGGACTCAAAACTCAGATGAGAACAAGACTCCAGACGCACAGGCTACAAACAGTCTAATTAAATCTCACATAGTTAATTATCCTTACCGGCGTTATTTCCTCGATCTCAAACGTAACAAAAGAGGACATTTCCTTAGGTTGACGATGCTGTCCACCTTGAACAGAATACAACTCGCTATTCCGTCCCAAGGAATGACGGATCTGTACAATGCTATCAGTGATATGCTAGACAAATGGTGGGACGGTTCAGAAGCCAATGAAAACAAATGTATGTTTTCAATTTTCACCTGATTTAAATTTCCTTGAAGCTGTCAACTTACCAGAGTCCAAGTCCCTAAGGTTTGACAATCGAACTTTATACTTCGACTCTTCTTTCAACCGTTTTGGAACATATCTGCGTATTTCGGAAGTCCGGACCGCGTCTAGGACTGCTATAACTATTCCAGGTCGTTCGCTCACTCGCTTCAGGGATATCATCAATGGATTAACTGAAGACTTATCCAATGTCAAGGTAACCATCTTATTATAACTACTGATTTATAGATAAACAAAAATTCTGATGAGCAAACACCGAGTAATGAAAGCCCTAATACACCTGATAATACTGAGTCAAGTGAACCCCTTGTAAATGGTGAAGCTTCGTGAGTTCACAACATCAGACTTCATCTTTTCTGTATTTGACTTAAATGCCTTCAATGAGTAAATGCACAATTATTAAAAATTATCTTCTCTGGTGCCTTTCATATTTTTAATCTGATTTCTACTGGTCTCATCTGAAGAGTACTAGATCGATTACTCATAATATGTAGAATAAAGAATAATTATGTAACGTTAGCGCATATAGATTATGGTGGTATATGTCAGTAAATTAGTATTGTTCACCGCACAGCAGGTTACTTGTAATATCCAGGTGGATGATTTTTGTTGTTTAAAATTGTAGCAGTCTTTTTAACACTTACACTCTTGACATACTAAGGTAGTGGTGATTATGTGGATTTCAGTTTCATGATTTTTTAAATACGTGAAGTAGAAATTACTTAGCCTCAGATGAGTGACTTACTGTTTTTTCTTTTACCGTAATCTTCTTTCGAAATGTAAAGGCATTATCATGACTGTCTCAATAAGTTCCTGTATTTTACATTACAGGTGGTCAGAATTTGTAATCATTGTCTAGTCATTGTGGTTGTATTTAAAACTGATATTTCCCTGTTATCATTTTACATGTCAAAGTGTTTATTAACTACCTTCCTGTTCTCTTAAACTGAAAATATGTGCGGCAAACTCATATCATTTAACCGTGTTGGTAGAACATTAGCCATTTCTTAAGATAGGAGAATGCCACCCAGTGGTTGCCATTCAAGGGTCGTATGAGGTATGGCATTTACATTTGTATCTCAGAAATATAACAGGTGCTTGGTGACAAACTGTATAACAGAGGCTAAAATGAGGTTTAAATGTGTAATCCATTGATGAAACGTTGACCGCTTAATCCAGTAAGCTACATCACTGATCTTGTCAAAATAAATCAAGGAATAAAGACAGTCTATCCGGCTCTGGAAATAAAATAAGAGAACTGGTTTTTATTCACTGCTCACCTTCAAATGTATCTCTTGATAAAATCAAGTTCTAAAATTAGTGGAACATAATCTCCCTTAGATTTCCATATTCGCAACGTCAAGTAGGGTGGGTTCAACCCAATTAGTGTGGTTGCATCTAGTTTAATCCTCTGTGAATTGTGTTTTTTACTATTTGCGTCTTTGTTGCTTAGTTGAAAGTTGAAGTTTTCTCTTTTTGTAAGATAAGTACGGATAACTAACTTTGTTGAAAGAAGTGTCGGTCCAAACTTTCATAAATGCGTTCTAAGTGAAAAAATGTAAAAAGAAACGATAAAGTATTAGTAGTAGCATGTTTGGAGTAAAAAGGTACGGGAACAAGAAATAAGAGTAATTCGGATGCACCACAACCAGATAGAATGTTGTAAATATAGTCAATTTTGTCCTGTTTTCCATAGCTATTGACAATCAGCTTACGAAGAGAATTTTCATGAATCGACCATATCCTTCTCAGTTAACCTTTAACATAACTCTTAATGCATGCCTGAAATTATGACCTATTACATTATGTAGTGATACAGCCAACACACTTAGGATCTAGGGACTTGGCATCCCATAAACTAGACTACCACATCACTTCACCCCAATGTGTATATTACCAGACACTAACGTTGATGTGTGGGTGACGGTAGTTTCAAAAGTATAATCTTCTTGATTGTCTCATATAATAGATCCAGATGTATTAATGGAAAGTATGCTTAACCTTTATCTAAGACCCATGGCTTTCGCTAATACCTCAAATTGGATAAATTAGTGAAAGATTAGGGAACTATTAATATTTTCGATATCGTTAACCATCACGTAGTAATCTAATTGCGCTCTTGTGAGATGATCACCATTCAGTATCTTCGATCCTCATACGTAGTATAGATGAAAAATTAGTTATTGACCAAGAGCTTTTATTCTGGATTTAAAGGACATATCTCTGACATTCAGGACATCCAAAATTTAATCTGTTGTCAACACAACTGTATAAACAAGAATGTGTTGTCGCACAAAGTTTCATCAGAAAATTAGTCCTCGTCAAGTCAGGCACTGAGAGTTTATGCCATAGGTACTATGATAGAGCTACATTGAAATATCAATTAAGGTCAAGGCGAAGTTAAGGAATCAAAGCCATAATCGTATTGACTTTGAACAACCAATGAGAATGTAGATGAATAGTCTCATCGTTAAAAATATGTTAGAAAGCATTGCAAACACGATTTTGTATTGGATAATTGTCTTTTATGTGATGTAAGAACATCGCCCAGTTACTCCAAGGATAATCTATAGAGAAATCATGCCATGCGCGACAGATGTATTCATTCAGGTGACTGATATTGACATCCCTAACTCTATTCTTTAACTTACCTCTAACTAACCGTAAGCCTTAACAGAAAAAAGTACGTAGTTAATAAGTGGAATACTATATCTACCTTCACAAACGCATTTTTTCTTGTAGCATGAACTGCATCTATACCAATATTCATCTCTCAAGGCTGTACTGCCTTACTATAGTACTCTCCCCAAACTCATAGAGGCAAGTATATTGCGATTTGGAGTGGTTTTTCGTAGCATTCCATTTGGTTTTTGAGGATGAGCTTTCAACTAACCTTGACTTTGGCTATGATACTTTACCTTTCCGAAGTCAGCACTCCACCAGTTATATAACCGTAAGCGATAAAATCACCGCAAATATATTAGTTTTAAGCCTACAGTTAGGTGGTATACTACGAGGAATGTTAATAAACAGATTAGTGTGAAGCATTTGTTTGTTGTTGAGAAGTGTCACTCTTTCTAGATTTCAGGTGAAGTAAAACTACTGACAAATATAGTTTGTTGGAATCTTCACAACTTCTCGGTTACAGAGCATCATTTAAGTGCAATGATGTGTGAATTTTTTTAGACTGAGTTGATATTCAGTGTTGCCATTGAACTGAATAACTCCGTTACTAATTTCTTATTTAGACCATCAATCTTGTTCCAGTGTCATTAAATATTTTCAGTTATATTAATTTGAGGTAACTACACAAACGTGTGCCTATGGAAGAATGTGAGTGATTACTTCCCGGCTGCCCATACCGTGGAAATGGATTTCTTGGAGCACCTGAAACAGAAATGAGACTAGTGTTGTGTGACATTATAGCCTAGGGGATAACTGCTTGAGGCCAATTGCACGGACTGTTTGAAGTGGTTTCTGGAGTTGTCTTGCCTCCTGCTACTAACCTCTGCAAGACAAGTCGGGTCGACCTCTTCTAAGCCCTCCTTAACAAATCGAACAAACAATAATAGGTAGTCATCTGAGGGAAACATCTTTCTGCTATTATATCTCTACTTACCAGCAGTACAACCTTGCCCGCAGACCCCCGGCAGTGTGAGTGGTCGGTGCTATTATGGTAACTGCTCTAGCCTAACCGTTATCTGAACCACCTTTCTGGCAATGTAGAACCTTCTGGAACATTCGTTCTAACCATTGTAGCTCTTTGGATCATAGCGATGTCCAAGCCAGACCACCACGTTAAAGTAAGAACTATTGGTTGATTGACAACCCATGGGGTCTCCAACTGTTGGTTTCAGTCATGTAAGGGGGTTTAGACTGCATGACTATAAACTAATGACTGGAAACTGTTGGTGACATCGCTCAAAATCGTTCTCAGTCGCGCAGATGGTTAGGACACATTATGCATGCCGATCTACTACCTTCTCGGTCGAACAATGTTAGCTGATACTGGCTTAGGCTGTGAAAGAGTTGGATGTGGTCAAGTCAGAACCTGGCATCAACCCATGAAGTTTTCGAATTGTTTTTGTTTGAATGCTGCTTTACATGGTTCGGTAACACTTATTTTGGAGATGAAGTTGACTGTAATGAATTTGAGTTTCATTTTCTTCTAGAATGCACGAGGAATTCTTGTTCTGTTTCTGAGGGCATGTCGTGGTATCTGGTTTGGTTTTTGTTATAGTTCAACCAGTTTCCTTTCATCAGTTATTGACCATAGGATTATGGAAGATTTGTTTTTTAGTTGAGCGTCAGGTAGTGTAACTATTTTGAGGACATGTAGTTGTCGTAAAGTATCAACCTTTTGTGTGCTGAATAGTAAACACGTTAAGGTAGAGGTGCGGCTCATTAGTTTAGGTGTTCAACTTCCAGCCAGTGGAACACGGGTTACAAATACCCCTATTACCTAGTTTTTAGCAACCAGGTTGTTTCATTAGCCCACTAGCTCATTTTCAACTTCATAGGAATGCAAGTGATTGTTGATTAAAGCCACTTCCAAACAACACAAAATACGTTAAAGATTCTAAATTTTACTGTTTGTAATTTGTTCTGTGTTCTATTTCACTTGCATTCAGTAATCATCCTCATGCGTAGTTTTAAAGAACTATGTGCTGAAGTTCCTATTCGGGTTCCACTACGTCCAGCCGCGCGATGTCACTCGAAGCTCTTCTCAGAGTGTGTATGCAATCCATCTACATTTCTATTGGCATATATATATTGGCATGTTGGGCGATGGGATCTTGGTGGCTGATTGGTTTCAACATAGAACTTTGCACAGATGTGCAGCAGTTCGAGTTGCCACACTCCATTTAGCACACAAAGCAAGAGGAGAGAGTGAAGAGAGATAATAAGCAGAAATGTGAGGCAAAAGTATAGTAATATGGAAGAACAATAGAATTTTATTTGATATGATAAATTACAGAGAGTGAATGCATCTGCGCCAATGAGAACAACTTTTGAGCCATATCACCAGTTGTCTCTAGCTATTGGTTTTTACGATCCTGAGGACCCCAACCAGCCAGTTAGTCTACACCTTCCTACGTGTCTGCCTTAAACTAACTGTTGTAGATTTCATTGACTGACGAGGCCACGTTTGGGTTTGACCACCACTGGCTCTTTTCCAACCTGATCCTATGTCAGCTAACAATGCCCTTCAGTCGAGTAAGGCGATGGCTAGAGATGCATGCGTAACACATTGCCTAACCATCTCAATCAGTTTAGCTTCACAACCTCGTCGATTGATTTCCCCTCCTTACCTAGCACTTGATGCCTAACCTCAATACTACTCACCCTGTCATACCACCTAACACGGGAGATAGAACGCAGACACCTATGATCAAGGACAGCCAGCCTTTTCATGTCTTCCACTCTCAATGGCCATGTCTCACTCACAGTGAGAAAGGACGTAGCGGACTGCTGAGCAGTACACACGCCCTTAGGTAGACAGCCAATGGGATATCACGTCTGTGTCAGAGATGGCGTAAACTGGCATATGCTAAACGAGCCTTCTGTATCGGTGCTGAAGTTCCGTCAGCGATCAGCACTCTGGCGTTGGCTGATGCAACTTCCCAAATAAGTGAAGTGGTCAACACGCTCTACCACTTCACTCCCTATTTCTAAGCTAAGAGTCAGTGTAGTCCAGTCAGTCCTGTAGCATCATCCTACATTTGACGGGAGCGAATCTCATGCCAAACATTCTCAGATTGCAGCTCAAGGTGTTCAGAAGACCGCATTTTGTCGGCGTCCTCACTTAGAAGGACTATATCATCTGCATACTCTAAGTCAACGAGGCTATTATTCCCTGGTAACAAGTCAATCCATGAGTCACTGAAGTCAACAGTTAGGGTTAATTCATTAGTACATCTATGGTGAAATTAAACAGAAATGGGGAGAGTGGGCATTCCTGACGGACACCACTAGTTGTCACCACTTCAGATGGCAACTCGCCGTAAGCTCTCACCTGGCTGCATGAGTTCGTGTAGAGTGCCTT